TTTTGATAGGAATTATATTAAATCTGCAGATTGCTTAGGGTAGTATGGCCATACAGGCTACTTTGAAGGGACAAACTAGTAAGGCTAAATTAGTATGACTAGTAAGGTCACATACTGTGACCCACTGTGCCATAGAGGTTATCTCTAGGCTCACACTGTTCTTTCCTGCTGTTCTTAAAGAAAATGTTCATTCTGCTGCAGCTAACTAGCCTCCATCTTCTATACCAAATACTATTCCATGCCACGGAAGTGCTGTGCAGTAACTCCCCAGTAGCACCTCATACCACATAGAAGCCTTTAAATCTCTAACCTGAAGGTGTCACAGTAAAGAAGTGAAAACACCTAGGAAAAGAAAAACGTAATTACCTGATGAAGACATCTATGTCCATGGAATGGGCCTGCTTGTCACTAAAATCTGTGCTGGTTAGGATTTGCTGTGTTTTATCTGCTAGGCTGAAATCTTCTGGGATTATCTAGCAATATAAGATTCAAAATAAATGAACAATATGTCTTTTAAAGGAGAAGTACCATCATTTATTTAATCCTGTTTTTGATGACGTCACTTCTTTTAATTGAAGTTAAGGACAGAGGCTGGTCATATTCAGAGAGCAACAGGCCCCATCCAGATGTTAAAATCATCCTTCTCTTTCTTGGTCAACCGTCTCCTAATTTCAAGTGATTTCCACAAGTTCTCTGGAACCATCTGAAACTGTCCTTTGAGGAGACCCACAACACCACCAGGTGACAAGAGCTTGACCAGATGCACAGCCGGACACATGTCACTCGATGTCATCGTCATCAAAATCATTACAAAAGTCGGCATGAACTGCCTTTTCATTGGCTGTCAAATCCATCAGGAACCTGGTGCTGCCTCCTGCCTTGTCCAGGTCCACATAGGGCCTGGTGCCCTCTGGGAACATCTCGTCCACTGCTGGCTACAGCCTATTTAATTTTTTTTTAAAGGAAACTTAGATTTTCTAATATTTTACTTACAAATAAAGCTATAATAAGTATCCTTGTGCTTATATAATTTTGCAAATGTGCTGTTTTTTAATTAAAAATTGTCAGTTTATTTTTTATTGAGATATACTTAACTTACAATATTTTAAAATTAAAAAAACCTGTTTTTGTGCTAATATGTTTATAGGATAAATCCCTAAGAGTTGAATTGCTAGGACAAATATAGGTGTGGTTAAAATTTCAGTCGCTACTGTCAAGTTACCCTCTAGACAGGCTGTACCAGCCAATGTGCACGTCTACAAGGTAATTTTAATCTTGAAGTACAGACTGACTCTGCATGACTGAAGGATTTAGGGGTAGCCAGGCAGCTGAATTTTGGGTTACATATAGGTAACCTGTCTGTTAGGTATATCTTTGGAAACTTTCACACCTATGGCTACTCTTATGAATCATACCAGGTGGGCGTCAGATATCTTGGCATGCTCTTCATTAATTTCTTTTGCTAGCTTCATGTACTCTGTCCACTCTTTCAGCTTCTTCCCTTCTTGGTTGTGTATTTCCCTGGGTGATTTGATTCTTTCTATGGCTTCATGCTTCACAGATGCCTTGGAGATCTATACATCCAGATGCAAACCCATGTACTCTTTGTTCCCCTATATCTACCTTTCTATACATGCTAGGAAAGTCCAAGATGAAGACAGGAGTGAATTTTGATGTATTTGAGGGAAAAAAAGAAATACTCTATCCTGTATGAGGATGGACTGGTGTATAAGCCTTAAGAGAAGCCAATGACTGGTCAAGATTGAACAGCCACAATAAGTTGCCTCAGTTTGATATCTCAGCTTTACACAGAAGAGTAAAAAAATCACAACCTCAAGGCCCTAGCTGGAAAGGAAAATAAAATTAGTGACTTGACCACTGCCAGAGCTTTGTGATGGGCCTCCTGGGCTCCAGTTTATTCCTTTATAATCCATCCTCCAGCCCACTGTGAGTGAGTGTTACCTTTCTAAAACACAACTCCTATCCCTGGCTTCAATGTCTTGCTTTTCTGGCTTCCAGAATAAAACCTACATGATTTAGGACAAAGTCATTAGACATCTGGAATCCTGCCTTCCCTCCGAGCTGCATGTTTTTTCTATCATTTCCTCCCACCCATCCCAGATGCCCTCATCCTGAGTGCAACAGCGACACTGAACTTTTGCTGTTTGATGCCTCCTTTTCCTTCCTGGTTCACCCAGTGAATGGAGATCTGGTTGAATGGTAACCTCTATGAATTCTCTTCTTCTCTTCTCATAAAGAATCCTGGAGACAGAGCTCATCACTCTCTGCATGGCCAGGGATGTGAGTGCACACTCGTATTACTGCACTCATCACACAGCTCAGTGGTCATCCAGCTAGGTCTGTTACCCTGCTTGACATGCTCTCCCATGAGACCCGGGGCCACGGGCGCTAGTCGTCCTCATAGTCCCAAAAATGCACAACGCCTGGCACGTATTAGGCGCTAAATACACATTTGCTGACTCAGTGACTGAGACCCCTGGCTTAGAGTAGCATATGTGATTCAGGGCAAATCCTTTATTCTCACCTGGGATCAATATTCTTTATTTGTAAAAATGGTCCCTTCCTTTCTTAAAATTTGTTATCCTGGGGTAATAGATACGTCTCAACTCTTGAAATTAAAAATTAGCAAGTATTCCTTTTCCTCTTTCAGTGACTACATTACTATGAATTACACACTTCATTACTATGAAACCTGACGGGTGGCCTGCTTTCTTTTCTTATAGTCACTGGTCATTTCAGGTTTGCTGTTTTGCTGAGCGTGAGATATACAGATCTGCCACACCATAATCAAAGAGCTGGATGCAGCTGCATTAGTTATTCAAGGCAGTACCAGAACTCCTTTAATGTATGTGAACGTCTGTCTCATATTTTCCTGGTATTTCCCCTTTGAATTTCACCCCCCAGCTTTATTAAAGTATGGTTGACGAATAAAACACACACATACACACATAGATATGTGTGTATATATATATATATATATATATGTGTGTGTGTGTGTAAATATATATATATATATATTTAAGTTGTATACCACGGTGTTTTTGTTGAACATTTTTACTGTGGTAAGATATACATAACATAAAATTGATCATTTTAGCCATTTTTAAGTGTTCCCCCTTAAATTTTACTGGCAAATAATTTCTTTTTTAAAAAAATTTTTATTTATTTATTATTGTATCATTTAACTATTTTGGCAGGGGGGTGCATAATTAGGTTTATTTATTTTTATAGGAGGTACTGGGGATTGAACCTTGGACCTCGTGCATGCTAACCATGCACTCTACCACTTGAGCTATCTCCTCCCCCTACTGGCAAATAATTTCAAGGACATCATTCCAATTCTCTCCCTCCGCCATCATTAAATAATACATTGAATACCTATCTATATCAATATACAGATTTCTCTACAGCCAGTGAAAATCTGTATATTGTCTGAGAAGTCCATCTCTTGGAATGAACAAGTATACCACGTTTCAGATCATTTTGTTTATGAGAATGCAATGACAACACACAGCTAAACGTTTATATAGACTTGAGCACTTTAAAAGGAGATTGCTACCCAAAGCCAAGATAAATGTTTTGATGAGGAATGAAAGATTAATCTTAAAATATGTGAGAACAGTTTGAACTTTGATTGGGTTTTGAAAATAGTCTTTCAGCTTCTTTCTTTACATTTTACTCCTAGTTTCTGTAGATACGTATAGACTGGTCAGAAAGGTAAATGCAATAATTAAATCATGATGTTTTGAGTTTCTGTTTTCTCTCTTACCTGGTATACCCTAAATTTCAGAAAAAAATTATTTTCTTAAATCACTTTTGCTTATCATGAGAAGTCACGTTCTTCAGAGTGAAACAGCTTTAAAAGATAACCGTCAATGATCAAATCTGAAAAGGCATTCCAATGGAAAAATGTTCCTGCTCTCTTTCTGAACTATTGTCATGCTGTTCAGGTTTAAGCAAGGCAGGTTTCTTCCCATTTCATAGCTGGGGGATGTTAGAGTAAACCAGTCCAGCTGTTTTTGTATAAAATGATTTTAAAAAATCCTGGTGACCTTTTTCTGCCCTCAAATAACTTTAAGAACAGTTGGACATAAAAACTTCAAACTTTACATATTCATGGCCCTCTGAGGAATACAATCATTGTTAGTTTGAGAAAAAGCTGAGTATTTTTTTGAGTTGGAAAGCTCTAATATTACATGTTTGCACATGCTTGGTACGTTACTCTTAGTCTGCTGATGAAAATTGATATGAGACTTTTATAGCATATGTGTAGATGCTGGTTTTTTACTTTATTTACCATGTCACAGAACTTACAAAGGCATATGGAATTTATGCTGTAACCTTTATATTGAAGTTAAAACTTTACATCTGTTCAGCAATATAAAAACAGAGATCCTACTAGGACACTGCAGAATTCATATAGAAAACCTTACAGTGGTGCCTCCAAGAACTGATCTCAGCTATGTTCATTCCCCATCAAAGGCGGCCTGAGTGTTCTGGCACTCCATGGGAAAGGGTTTTTTTTTTGGAAGGCTCCATAAAAGATTTTCACACACATTCCAGATAAAGCCTTAAGCAAAGACTAGTGATTGCTAGTGTGGTCAGGCTTCTGACACCTGGGGTTTAAAAATAACTTTCATCAGTGTTCCATTTAGTACATGGAAGGTATTTAATTCTTCATTGCCTCATATATAACCCCCTGAATGTTTGGATACCACCCAAAATCCAAGCTCTTTGTATCATCCTCTCTTCTGGCTTGAGTTCCATGTTATTATACATTCTCTTTCCCCCATTCATCTTCCAGCTGTTGTACTCTGATCTCTGGAATCTCTTCCATCATAAGCAAAGCCTCCTGTGCTCTAAGCCTCTTTCCAGAAGTCTTCCTCCATTTACTCAAAGAGATGCTGCTCCTTCGTTCTACGTCCCTTACAGTTGCCAGCAGTGTTATTTTCCTGGCAATCTCCATCCCTCTAAAAAACATTGTAATACCAAAGTAATAAAAGAAAATAAAAATAAAAACTCTCCCTAACCCCCAACCAGTCAATAATGTTGTATTTTTGAGTATATCCTTCAGAATATGGGTATGATTACACTATATGTATTTTTTCCCCTGATAACAATATACTGTAAGTTTCTTTTAAAAATTTTACTGTGAATTATTTCAAATATAGAGAAAAAACATAAGGAACTCTTTCATATCCACTAGCTGGTTTTATGAATTTGAATAGACAATCTACTGAATATCTTCTGCTTATCCCTGCAGGTTCATTCTTTACCTTTCTGCACCCTGCAGAGGGCCCTAGGAGGATGGCTAGTCTGCACTGGTCCACTGCCTCACTCTGGCTCCCAACTGGTTTAGTCCATGGAAGGAACCTGCAGGAGGGGATCAGATTGAAGGGTGGGAGGTCAGTGAGGTCAGGGCATTTGTTCCTTCTACCCTCCAGCTCCAGCCTGGCTTCTTGCTGTCTGTTGGCTGAATCCTTTTACTGAAAGCCCTGGTTCATATAGGATGGTTGTCTCCACCTAGTTCCTCTCTCTCTGGGTTCTCATATCCTTTCATGCCTATGGTTGAAACAGCTCTCTGCTGTGATCTGCTGCCCTTATCAGTTTCCTCAAATGCTGTCTACAGCTGTTATGGGTTCAGTGATGTCCCCTCCAAATTCGTATGTTGAAGTCCTAACCCCCAGTACCTCAGAAAGTGATCTTATTTGGAGGTAGGATCTTCATAGCGAGAATCAAGTTAAAGTGAGGTCATCAAGGCTGGGCCCTGATCCAAGATGACCAGTGTCCTTCTAGAAAGGAGAAATGTGCACCCAGAGACAGAGACACAGAGGGAAGACGGGAAGGCACAGGGACAAGAGGGCCAGAGACAAGCCAAGGAGAGAGGCCTGGAACAGATCCTCCCCTCACAGTCCTCAGAAGAAATCAACCTTGCTGACACCTTGATTTTGGAGTTCCAGCCTCCAGAACTGTATGACAATCAAATCCTGCTGTTTAAGCCACCCTGCCTGTGGTATTTTATAACAGCAGTATCAAGTGCAACACATTTATAAATAGTCCCTTCATATGTCAACATTTAATTATCCAGCATGAGTGTGATGTCTGCTTCCTGTTAGAAGCCAACTGGTCTAGGCCCATAATCTATCAATCTATGCTTTATTTGCTTCAGATTTTTTTTTTCTGTTAAGAAATTGAACACTGCGAATTCCTGAACCGCTTTCATGTCAGTACATATGTTTGCACAACACTCTGAACACACTTAAGAAGCTTGGTCTGGAGAACTCCTCTACCCATGTCTAGACCGTTTCCACCCACATGGAGGTAGGACTCCTCTGGAGCTGTCTGTCCCTCCAGGATGCTGCAATTCATCGGCTGCTTTGACCAAAATCACCCATGGAATCATTTGGTAACAGTGCTGTATCTGTGCATATGCATGTTTTAAATAACCTCA